CATTCGGTGTTCTCCTCATCCGCGAGGAGATTTTCCAGCATTCACTGTCATATAAGAAGATGGGTATCATATAGCACTCTTTTCTTTGTTTCAAAAAAAATTATTTTCTGCTTTTCGGCCCCTTGCTTAGCTAATGTAATACCTTTTTTCTCTAGTCCAATGCAACTTCGGATTTCGGTGTCATATTTTCCATCCTCTGTTAAAACGCTCCACAGACATTTAAACTTCTTTGCTTACCCGCATCTTGAACTTTCTTCTCTTGCTGATGACCCTACTTTCTGTCCTCTTGCAGTCGATGGTTAGTCTTTTCACTCACGTTCTTCTACCACCCTGTATGGGAGTTTTTTTTTTAGTTTTATTTCCGTATCAGCCATCAGAACAGTGTCATATGCGTATCATCTATATATAATGTATATATAATATTTCAAGTCAGAAATGTTGTCAGTCAGCCGAAGAAAAGACATTTATGGCATGGGTCTTTGCAATAAAATGCTCGATATCAGAGCACTATTTACATTGTTCGGACTATCATCCTCATCTTTGTTGCCATATTTATCACAACGTTTCGGCTATTGTACGCTCCAGCATTCTTCAGATGGTTGGAATGTCGAATTGAACCCTTTATTTCGCTCACTGGGGTAGACTGTTCTAGTTCCACGTGCCACGTCTCTAGTTTGTTATTTCATAACAAAAGTTCGGCTTTACGCTCCCACTGGGATAATAAGCTCCGTAATTTTTATAAATGTGTTTGTTACAAAGGCTGAACATCATATCAAGATTTAAAGAAGAAAAGAAATGAAAATGTTATTAAAAGTGTGAGGTCTCCATCCACACTCAACGTGATAATAATCTGATTTCTGTGTGTTTGTTACAAAGACTTAAAAAAAAATCATATCAACATTGAAAGAGAAAAAGAAATGAAAATATTACTAAAAGAATGGGGTCTCTATCCGCCCTCAACGTGTTAATAATGTTCTAGTTTCTCCGTGTTTGTTACAAACGCTGAAAAGAAAATTATTACAATTGATTTATCATTGCGCAAACTGTGGGAAAGTTACTGAAAGCTGCAACATATTTTTTTCAGTGGCTTCACTCAACTGGCACAATAAGAGTACAGACGACTCCATGACAAATTATCTCTCAGAATAAATTGAGAACTATGCATGAATTATAGCCATTAGTGTGTAGAAATATTTACCACCGTCGGCAGTTGAGAATCACCAAGTGAAACACCATTTTGATTGACAAGTACTTGGAGCGCAATCGCCCTGATATGACATTAGTGCACAACAGCAGCAATGAATGGATCTTGATAGAACTTACGGTACCTTGGGGTACGAACGTTGTGAAGACGGAGCAGTAGAAAATAAAGGTGTGCCAAGACCTGAATGGGGAAATCAGAGAAATATACTAACCATTATCATCTGGTTGACTGGGCAAATCAGAGAAATGTGCCAAACAGTGCCTCAAATTGTCTCTTTTGTGGTTGTACTCGGGGTTGTTTCCAGCAATCTTTCTACCTCGCCAGACGAGTTGGTTTATACCTGAAATCTTTGGGACTGCGCATGCAGCAAGCTTTGGGCAGGAGCTGAGATATGACCATTATCACCACCACCCGGTCGACTGGGCAAATCAGACTAATGTAACAAGCAGCGCCTCAATTTCCAGGAATCTTTCTGCCTCGCCAGATGACTTGGTGTATGACATCCTTGGGAATGCGCCGGTGGGAATCGTTGGGTAGAAGCCGAGATATGTCTATTATCATCATCCGGCCGACAAGGCAAATCGGACAAATGTACCAAGTAGCGCCTCAAATTGTCCCTTTTGTGGTTAGTGCACTCAGGACTGCGTCCAGTAATCTTTCTGCCTCGCCATACTAGCCAAATACATATCCTACAGACAGAAAATAAATTATAATAGAAGTTATTTTAATAATTTTATTAATATCAAAAATTAATTCAATAACAGACTATTCTTCTTCATCTTCTTTATGTGCTGTGTCTCCTGAAGATGTAGACAATCATGACTCTCCACCACTTCCTGTTCCTTGTAGCTCTTAATTGATTTTGTCTTTCTCCTAAACACTGTTCCGCTATCCATTTACTCAAACTCATTAAGTATGTTATACTTTATTTTCCTCTTTTCCATCTTGCCTTCAATATATCCGTGAGTATAAGATTTTCCACGCTCTCTTTCCCCATTATGTGCTCTAGAAATCTCAACTAGTGTTAAGTATAATTTTCCTTTTTGTTTCCCTTTTCTATAAAACTTCGTTGTTCCTCACTTGTTCGATCAATGGTATCCTCAGCATCCTTCGGTAGAACCACATTTTTGTTGCTTTAAGTTCTTTCTTTATTTTTGAGGCGATTGTCCAGCACTCATTGTCATACCGGAGGACAGATATCACATAACAGTTGAGTATTCCTTTCGTTGTTTCTAGTGAAGTTTTTTTATTTTTATTTTTTAGTACTCTGCTTAATTTTGGGAAGACATCTTTGACTATCGCAATACCCCTTCGGATCTCAGTGTCGCTCTTTCCGCTCTCTTCCAGATATTTAAATTTCCACACTTTTTTGATTTTGTATCTCCGATTTGCAATTCGCACTTTGGGCTCATCCTTACGAGAGTTTATAAAAGCGTATTATTCTTTTCGCCTAGAATAAAACTTACACAACTTCTTTTTTTTAACGAATTTAGGTACAGAATAATACGATTTTTAAAGATATAAATGTCTTAATGGCACTCTATTTGAACTTCGTCTGTAGATCTGTTCTTGATTATCCGGAAGAAAGATCAAAAAGAGAAATAGTCGCCACCATGTTTAGCTATCTATTCAAATTAAAATGTAATCGAGCGTTAGATATACAAGCAAGACAGACAAATGGTTAGTTGGAGGTTGCCGTGGCAACTGTCAAAAGTAAATCCGATCTCTTATCTACTTCCTATTCAGAACTCGTGACGTCTGTCTTCTCTCTTTTTAGTTGTGATGACCGTCGAACTTCTTCTAGGTTTTCATTCTTTCTTTCATCACATTTTCCTGTTAACCTCTTTAATTTTTGTTTATACTTTTCTTCTGTCCATATTTTTTCGAAATTTTTTTGTTTTTTGCCTTCCACTTTCATCTGTTCTTCCTCATTGTAATCTTTTTTGTCTTTTACTTCTCTCTCCCTCTTTCTTTGTCTGTCTGTCTCTGTCTCTGTCTCTCTCTCTCTCTCTCTCTCTCTCTATCTCTCTCTTTCTCTCTCCTGTTTATTTTATTCTTTATTTTCTTTCGTTTCACTTCTTTTTTTGCGATTTCTTTAGCGTAAATCTTTCTTTCCTTTTTGCGAATGACTCATATCTTTTTAAATATTTTTGGGCTAACTATAGCGAGACATAGTGTCAAATATGAAGAAATTAGGATAGAAAGATTTTGCTGAAAGAGACTTCGCTGTAAATACGGTCTTCGTTCCTAACTTAAAAAAGTCGCATTCAAAAATCTTTCTTTTTTTAATCTGTTCAACCCAAACAAAACAATAATGCCAATGAACGCAAGCCCTCACTGCTCCATCGCTATTTCCATAAAAAGTGCTCAGATGAACTTCATTCTTTACTTCCACAAGTTTTCACCTTCACGTCTAGGACCCGCCATGCTACACACATTGTATCGAACCACCCTTATTCCTTTCATATTTCATTGGTGAGATGGAAGTTCCACTCGAGCAGCTTCTTACCACAAACCGCTGCTCTGTGACTCCCAAGAGGGTGTTTTCCCGACTACTACAATCTTAATATGTTCAAGTCTAGTATTTATCTTCCCCACATATCCGTATAAACTGAGCTTCTTAACTATAACCCTCTACCTCGAGTGGCTCCCGGGCGATGTACAGAGTGAACATCACTGTAAAAATAAAAAAATAAAAAGACGCAAATGACAGTAAAAGAGAATTAAAGACTTTACAAGGAACCGGAAACCCAATCCTAAACAGGGAACAAGGGATAAACCTCTACGACTGTTCAAAAAACGAGGAAGGGGTGTGAACTGGACGATATGCGAACTTAAAAATGAAAAATAAAAAGAAAATAATTAGTTGATTTCAGAGTTCAAAGGGATACTTAGAAGTATAAAGTTGAAGTACACTTTTGAAAAACTGGAAACCTAATACTAAACAGAGATAAACCTCTAACTTGAATCGAATGCTGACCGCCATACGAAATGCTTAATAGCGTAATATGGCACAAGACCATAAGAATTAAAATTATAAAAAAAAGCCATTTCTTTTGTTTACTATAAAACTTTGGTCCTATTGCTTTTCTTTATCTTATTTCTTTTGCCGCACGTGACATGACTCACAAGTCGCCTTGGTTACCTCATCCTTCAAATTTAAATAAATATTTCTCTCCTCACTATTTTAATTTTATTTCCTTTGATTTCTGGTGTGTACACATTTCGTTCCGGGACCTAAGGTTAGAAATGGCGTCACGATATTTTCCACTGGAAAAAAAAAAATTTACATAGATAAATCCCTTCGTAAGGTGTAGGCTGTACTGGTGAGAACAATTTTTTTGTATTTCTTTAAGGCATGGGCTTCCAGGAATCCCTTCAATTACTCTACTGGAATCATTTCCAACCAATTCGAGGGCTCCAACTACAACAGGGATTGTTGATGTTCCCATGTGCCACATTTTTGAGATTTCGATTTCAAGGTCCTTGTATTTTGATAGCTTTTTGAAGATCTTCAAAGATACATTGCAGTCCGCGGGGACTGCCTTATCAATAAGGAGGCACTTTTTTTTGTTTGCGGTCTCTATTAACAATGTCTGGGCGGTTAGTTTTGATTGTTCTGTCTGTGTTTATTATTATTATTATTATTATTATTTAGTTTAAATTATAGTCTGTATAGAGGTGGTGTTAGCTTAAGATTGTGTTTACTTTTGTTCTTTCCTCCATTCGATTTTTTTTTTTTTTACTTTGGTCCTATACAGAATCCGTTATTTTTTCTGTTTCTTTTCCTTTTTAGACATTCTCGTAATATCTCCTTCCTGGACCACCTACCGTCCACAAACCCATTTGGCCAACCAGAGATGCATTGTCCTGAAAACTAAATTCGAAGATGAGTGGAGAATAACTGACGAAATAATTGAAAATGTGAGTAATCATGGTGGATTTATCATTTGATTGTTGTTATCTATCGAGTATACGCTGTCGAAATTGAAAAAAAAAAGAACGTTTCATTTCTTAAAAATCATCCCGTGTCTTTCTGAAAAAGGTAAGTAAAAAAAAACAAAAAAAAAACTTAACCATACAGACTGCTTCAGTAAATTCAATCAGGTAAGTTCATCAATTGCTTTTTACTTGTTCAAGCGAAAGCTATTTCTACTCTTGCAAATAAGCATTATGGGATTTACATGTTATAATAACAAGCTGTTCAACCTAAAAAATTCAAACTAAAATTTACTTATCTTTTTCACACAATTAAAACTCTTAAAATTCAACAAATTTGCGATAACACCTACCCACTCGCTCACTCAAACGCGTGCACACACACAAACACACACACACACATATATATATATATATATATATATATATATATATATATATATATATATATGGTTATTTATTGCTTAACTTACATGTATCACGAAGCCAAAAGCATGGAGCACCCATTGAGTATAGAACTCACTATGATAGATAGATAGATAGATAGATAGATAGATAGATAGATAGATAGATAGAGAAGTAAATATGACTCTAACAAATAGGTTCCTGAATAAAACTTGTTTAATATATTATTAAAACAAAAAAGAAAATAAAGAGCAATTTGAATCTTTGTTACCTTCACAAACACACAAACACACACATATATATATATATATATATATATATATATGAAGAAATACAGTTTTAAGATGTGCTATATTTACGAGATAAAGTCCTCAATATCAGAGATAGAGCGTATGCAAATATAAATATAAAAGTGTACATTGAAGTCAACACTCAGGGGAGACAGGCACTTTCATGCAAACACAATCGTCAGGCCTGACGATTGCGTCCAGCATTAAACAGACTGTCGCCTCTGAGTATTGACTTCAATGTTCACTTATATATATATATATATATATATATATATATATATATATATATATTATCTTTACAAAACAGTGCTCAATGCAGTTCTACAGAGCATAAATATTATAAATTTACTAATTTAAAAATATGTTTCCATGACTACACAGGAATTACTATGTTTCAAAAACAGAAACTAAAAACTTCAAATTCAATTATAGAAATAAATTAAAGTCCCTAGTCCTGTCTCATTTTTAAGTGAATTTTGGAATAACTTATTTTGAAATTTACTGATTTTTTATAAGCACACACATATATATATATTATAAGCAAATACACACACACACACACACACACATATATATATATATATATATATATATATATATATATATATATATCGCGCATGCGCATTGTTCATTTTTATTTTGTCCACTGCATAGTATAGTAGAGTTGGGTACCGTCTGTTAGAAAAAAGAGCACCATGACGCAATTTAGTTGGACATTCAACTATAGCTTAATTTGACGTAGTTTTTTATTAAAGATTTTATGTAACCTATTAGTTTGTGGGAAATTCTCTTTAAATAGTCTAAAAATATTTTGCCTATGTTGGTTTTCACCGTTGAATTATATGTGGGGTTAAATCATAATATTTTTCTACTTCTGGTTTTATGTTTACTTTGTGTTCTAGGGTAATCATTCTATATCATTATATTCTAATTTAATATCATGTCCACTATTCTTTAGTGCTTGTTCATAAATTATTTTATTTTTGTTAAAAATATTGTTATTCGATGAGTTAGTGGACAATCTGTGATTAATACCTTTAGGTATCTGTTTCAAAATATATGCCGGGTGATTAGAATCTACGTTGATATATTATGGGTACTGATTATCCTTTCTATACGGTGAAATTGTACCATCACGTTAGTCTAGCTTTTCTTTTCTTTTTTTTTATAATGTCCAAGTAATGGGTAACCTTCAAGTTTATTTCTATATCCAGATTAAATCAGAATTTTTTAAACATCCAGTGAATTTTCTTTCAGATTACGTCACATTTAGGGTTACTTTTATCTACAATAATTAATCCATCGTCCCTGTACAGACCATGGTTGCTAGGATCTATATATTTATTTAAATTGTTTAGTAGGAGGCATCCGATCAACTCACAAACCTCTGCACCATCATATGCCCCCATGGGATTGTCAAAATTACCTTTATAACCTTTTTTAATCCATAATTCGTTATTATGGAACAACAATGATTTACGGCAATATTTAATCAGATTAATTTTATCGCTAGAAATTGATATAAATTCTTTAGCTAATAGAAAGGCTTCATCAAGGGTTTCTTCAGTGGTCGATGGGTAGAATTCTTTATGTATTTAATGAAGGAACATTTGTTATTTTTATCGTAACTCTTCCACCATTCGATACAATCGTAGGTGGAACGCCATTGATTAATATTTAAGAATGTTCTTAACGATTCGCATATTTCTTGTAAGATTATTTTGCTAACCTTACCCAATTGTGTTATAGTGGGGGTTTGTAATTCGGCATTTAGGATTATTCAGAAAGTTGTTTTTATGATCTTTAATTGTTATAAAACAATTTTTTACGCTAATTTTTTCAACTTCTCGAGAGCAACTCTCTGCGGCTGCTCGGTCTCACGTTGACGGCTGACCTGAGATGGAACAAATACATTGCGTCAATTGCTTCGTCCACCACAAGGAAAGTTGGCTCCCTGTGCCGCGCCAGGAAATTTTTCTCCCCGGAATCGATCCTCCAGATCTACAAATTAACAATTCGCCCTTGCATGGAGTATTGCTGCCATATATGGTCTGTACCACTTCTGCTTGCCTCTGAGTTCTTGACAGACTCCAGAGGCGGATATGCAATATAATTGGCCCTACTCTGGCATCTCGTCTACAGTCACTTTCTCACAGACGCGCCGTCACCTCTCTCTCTGTGTCTGTTTTACAAATACTTTCATGGCAATTGCTCCGAGGAGCTGCATTCGCTGGTTCCCAGACTTCATGAGTTCAAGCGCCCTACGAGGCTGGCATCCCGCTCTCACCCCTTCACTGTCGAAACTACTAAATGTAGCCGTCTCTTCTACTCCAATAGCTTCATGTCCCGCACCTCTCGCCTGTGGAACTCCCCTCCCTATTCCAGTTTCCCTGAGAGCTATAATCTCCAACTATTCAAATGTAATGTCAATCGATATCTCCAGTTGCCTTGATCTATCCACTATCCTTCTCCTCATCCTTTCTTCTATCACTCCTATCTGATCTTGCTCCAAATTTTTTGTAACCCCTTGCGTCCTCGTAGCTTCCCGCCTTGCTTGGGGTGAAACGCTTAAAAAAAAAACCCGATTTTTTAAGTTAAATTTATTGGCTAATATGCCAGCTTCTCTATTCAACTCAGTTTCTAGATTAGCTAGGTCTTTTTTTTTATAATACTTATTTACCTCTTACCGCATATTTCTTGGGGTATATCTTGTATAAGAATTTGGATTTGTCAGCTTTTACGAAAACATTCTTGTTATGTTTGATATCTTTCAGATCATTGCTAATTTGTTGTTGTATATTATTTGTAATCTTTCTATGCCGTATAGTTTTAATTAATCCGATTAAATCAGACTCAAATTTGTCTAATTCCTTAATATGGGGTGGGTGGGCATAGGTTTTAAATCCATACGATTCGATGGTTTGATGTTATTATTAATGAAGAAATGCGCTTTCCATCTCATATTCTTTATGAAGGATTCTATTTTCTTCAATAAAACTAATTCGTATGAGTGTCTGTCAGGTAATTGTATATCTTTAAGTGAGTCTCCTACGTCTACTCGTTCCATAACGGTTAGCGTATTGAGCACTTTAGTTATTTTACTTACTCGTATCGGTTTCTCTTTCTTTGGACTCTGGACTTGCATGCTAGACGATTATTTTCGGCTGACGTATATGTTCTTTCTTTTTTTTCTACCTTTTTTTTCCTTTTGGTATTGGTTTGCTTATTTTCAAATCAAGACACCGAAGGTTTTCCGGACGAGTATAATTTCTTATATTTATAAGATTATTACTAGTGTATATATATATATATATATATATATATATATATATATATATATATATATATCTGTCACAACTACGTCTAAAACAATAAAAGATTTAATTAATACAAAACGAAATAATAAGCTAAATCTTGAAGGTTGAATTTACACTATTACCTGTAAGACTGGAATTACCCTCCGATTTAATAATTAGTCACTTTCATGCTTTCTTTAGTTTAAATAAATCCTACTAAGCTAAGCTATTTCACTCATTAGTGCATGTCGGCCATTTTTTTAAAAAGATGTGGGAAAACATACAATTTAAAATCCGCTTGCCCTAACATTATCATTAACCAGCAAGGTAGACAAGACAAAAAGAGCAAAGGTTTTAAGGAAATCTTATGCAGTAATGTGTTCATTTCGTTATTAATAATAATAATAATAATAATAATAATAATAATAATAATAATAATAATGAATAAATAATAAAACCATTCGGGAAGAGAAAATCACTCTGACCCGAAGTGAGATGACAAATTAGTACAAAAAAAAGGTGGGCAAGCGATCCAAGCCTATTCTTCGAAATCCAGACGATATCCCAAAATTCTTAGCCTTATGTATAGACACACAGGCACACACATATACACACACGCTCATGCACATTCACCCCAACAGACACACACACACACACACATACATATATATATATATATATATATATATATATATATATATATATATATATATATAGGTAAAAATCTGTGTAAATAATCCATGTGAATCCTAATAATAAAAAATATTAAAACCGATCCACACATATTTATTCTAGAGCATATATAGATAATTTACATCTAATGAAACTCAATACCCCATATGAATGGCCATTTCACTTCCTAAAGAAAAATTCCTTACCAAGTCTTTTCCACACAACGAAAAAAATCTTTTGTGTTGAAAAGCCTCGGTAAGGAATTTTTCCTTACGAAGAGAAATGGCGATTCATATGGTGTATTGAGTTTCATTAAATGTAAATTATCTATCTATCTGTCTATCTGTCTATCCATATATATATATATATATATATATATATATATATATATATATATATATATATATACACACCAAGCGACAACTGTTTGTTTTATAGCTTCAACGCAATCTTCAGACGTGAAGATTGCATTCAAACATGAGACAGACTTTCGCCGCTTGTTGCTGACCTCCGTGTTCACTTTTATATTTACATAAGCTCTAATCTCTCTCTCTCTCTCTCTCTCTATATATATATATATATATATATATATATATATATATATATATATATATATATATATATATATGTATCACACACACACGCGCGCACACACACACACACACACACACACTGATACTGTGGACCCATGATTACAACACACCTTAAAACTATACTTTTAACAAGATGGGTTTTCTTCTCTATCGAATGACGCATAAATCGGATAATGGAGAACATTTTATTGACTGATGACGTCGTATTTTGCCTTGGTTCTGGACAGAAACGAGAAACATCCAACAAGGAAAAACTCGGACATTTTTTATTTCTATTTTTCTAAAAAGTACATAAAAATAAAAAAAAATATATAAAAATAAAAGAGACAAATTTTCATATATATTTTTTGAACCGGTTTCGTTTTTAGGCAATGACCGAGAATGAAGTCTCCGAATATAAATTACTCATTCTATGCAGCCCGGACAATCCTTGTAAGTATTTGATACAGCATCACAAAGAAACGGCAAGTTCAATTCCTACTGGCTGAATCTGACATCCATCCTCCTTCCAGCATTTGAGGCTTCAGTATTTATCGACATCTTCTTAGGTTGTCCGGAAAATAATGGCCAATTTGAAATTACGCATTTCTCGATATTCATGTCATTTCCACACTATTTCGATTTGCATTCACTAATGGGATATTTTCTTTTTAACAAGTGGCAATACATTTTGCCATTTTTCGTACAGTTCGATAAGAGATTTCTGCTTCTACATGACCATCTACAATTGCAGAAGGACATCCCATACACTATACATCTTTGGCATCTTCCTTTTTGACTTGCACTGTGCAAAATGAAGTCACTTTGTCTCATTATAATTGGTTAATAGCATTTGTGAATAATTAGGATTGTCATTCTTTTGCGCTTTTAATTGCTCGTCTTTTTTTTTTTTTTTTACATACAGAAACAAACAGAGCAAATCTTAAGCTTGCGAAATATTTATCAATCTTATATATATGAAGATCGCTAGTCAAGATTTGAAACTGACTATCATTTTCCGGATAGCCTAATATCTCATACATTTCACTTTGTATCAGGAATAGTATTTTTTTTTTAATAATCCATGAGTAATTTTTGATTTTAGCAGATTTTTTGTAGAACAATTCAACAGTAATAAAAAGAAAAAGATTTTTAAGGGGCAGTCAAGTTCATAATGTCTTGTTCGAGAGCTCAGATTCATAAACAATGATGTTGTTGTTTGTAGGATAATTACTCTGGGAATGGATGTTTTGCTTGTTTAATAGATCAGTAGTAGATCTTTTGAGTATCTCAGATTTTACAAATACACAAATATCCTGAAAGGTGTTTTGCGGAATCAGTTTGAATTAACCCTTTCTATTCGACTTTTGAACAAATATTCTCCATTTTTTAATACTGAGTTCATTAGACCTAAAATAAGAACTCGTCATATCCACTAAGTTTTTAAGTAAATTTTAAACAAATATTAATGGTGTGGAAAAATGTCCTGACAATATTACGGTTTCACGTAATCCATTAAGATCATAGGTGCACTACATATTTTGTTTATGGCGAAACTATGTCTGAACCAGAAATAACCTCGCCATAAACAGGCTAAAAATCAAGGCTTTTTGAAAAAGTTCCGTCCGAATAACTTATTGGTCAATAAAGCTAGTGGTAAGGATCATAGGGTTATAATTTGTCCATTTATTTTTTATAAAGTTTCCTTATTGACATTGATTTCGATTCAGACCATTTAGTATTTCCTGATATGATGGATCTAGGACAGTCTACTCTGACGAAGCCCATCTCTCTTCAGGTTCGTTTTGAATTCATATTTTTTCTTCTCCGAGGATGGTCGCCACCACAACGCAAGATAATTCAATCTATCTTGCTATTTAACCCTTAGATGGATGAAGGTGGAGTCATAACTTTTTCCAATTACATTTATGCGAAGCGAACAAAACAGAATCGACTGGAAACTGAACTATGTTCGCTGATTTCACTTTCTAACGCTTCTAATAATATCATTAGGTGTTTGTTATATAATAAAGAATAAGACCAACAGCTGGGATAATTTACAAGAATTAATAACTGGCTTTATTGACTGATATTTTATTGGGGAGGATATGTGTCTTTAGGATCGAAAGGGTTAAAAATCTCAGATTGAAACGTTAGATTTTCGCCTGGAATCCAATCACGAGAAAACCAATGTTGAAAGAATGTATCGTCGCAGAAGAACTTTTAAAAATAACTCATCATTTTTTTTTTCTATTCATGAGAAAATGAATTCAGAATATTCTTGCATCATTCAATACATTTTGTACGTTTTCTGTGTATTTACAGCCGGAACACAATATAATGAAGAGCAGCTTAAGCCCTTGATGTAAGTAATTTGCTTGATGCTTATAAAATCAACACTTTTTTTTAAGTATTTCACCCCAAGCAAGGCAGGAGTGCCACTAGTACGCAAGGGCTTACAAAGAATGAGAGTAAGAATAAAGAGCAGTTTTTGAGGAAAGTATAAAGAGAAGGACGTGGATAAAGATCAAGGCATCAGAAGATGTCGATTGACATTACATTTAAAGATTTGAAAATTATAGCTATCTGGGAAACAAGTAAGAGGAAGTGAGTTCCACTGTCGGGAAGTGCAAGAGAAGAAGCTGTTGAATTAGAAGTGGCGGTTACATTTAACTGCTTCGACAGTGAAGGAGTGGGACCGATATGCCAACTTAGTAGCACGCTTAAATTAATGCAGTTTAGGAACCAGTGAAAGTAGCTCGTCATATCAGTTGCCATGAAAATATTTATAGAAAAGACAGAGGGAAGCCGTAGCACGAATGTGAGAAGGTGACTGTAGTCGAGATAGTCAGGACCTATACAGATAATGTCTATCCGAATGTCTGAGATGAGCAATTATTGTTATTATACGTTTACTAAAAGTATCCGTGAAAATTTCGCGGTTCTCCTATTTGAAATTCCTGATTAATCTTATTTCTTAAGTTAATGACTGAATAAACTCCTGACGAGTTCTACAACAATAAAATATCAGCAGAAATTCCTCTATTGACGCTTGTTTTACAAAAATAATTCCATTGCTATAACGGATAATTTTAAAATTTTAAGATAATTATAACAGATCACCTTCACGCGTGTTTTTAACGAACACGGTTACAATACGTTTGTTTTTGTTATTCACCCCTGAGGATGATCTCGAAGGAGATCGAAAGTACTTGGATATAAAAAAAAGTACGGCGCCTTCGATGATGAATTTCATCTTTCTATTAAGAAACAAATTAGAGAACTAGAAAGGATTATTATAAAAATAAATAGGCATAATATATCTATATTATTTAATGGAACATATATATGTAAACAAATAAGAAAATAAAAAAAATTTCAATAACATTTACTTCCATTTATTAGTCATTAAATTGCATCACTTCGAATCCTCCATAGTTTACCTTCATTTTCACAGTTTGACAAATATTTACGATTGTATTTTGAAAAAAGGAAGTTAGTCTACAAACGACCAGACAATACGACAAATACAACATCTACAACGAGCATTCTTAAATTTAAAAATTTTGAAGATCTAACGATATTTTTTTTTACCTCTGTTTATGAACAGATATTGTAAAATAAAATACATTTACTTTCATAAAGTCCATCAGAGAACGAAACGTGTCGGTAAAAAAAATTTAGCCTTTTGTTTTTTATTCATTTAGTAAAATACTTAAAGCAAGGTCGGCAGCTTACGGCACGCGTGCCACACGTGGCACGCCAAGCAATAGCCAATGGCACACAGCCGCAAATGACATCACGAAGTCCGAACCAATAACTACTGCAACGCAAAGATATTTAGCTGTTTCAATTTTAATATATACTAAAGTATATATACTATATATTACTATATAAAATATCAGGTCATCCCGTAAGTTCTGTCCGAATTTTGAAAAAAGAAAACAAGTGACCAAATGTTACATTTAATTACAGATTCAATCAACAATGTATTTTCCCTGATTATCTATGGCTTCCTTCCATCTATTAACAAGCTTACTAATTCCATTACTGTAAAATTCTGTTGGCTTTGATTCGAAGAACTCACACATGTCAGTTTTAACCTCTTCCTGTGTTACAAAAGCTGTTTCTTCCAAATGATTCTGTAAGCTACAAAACAAATGGTAGTCTGAAGGAGCAAAATCGGCAGAATAAGGTGGATGAGAAATTTTCTCCCAACCAAGTTCTTCGATCTTTTGTGACGTGATTCTTATTGTGTGAGGTCGCGCATTGTCCTGATGAAACATCACCTCTTTTCGATTCACTAGAGCAGGTCTTTTTCCTCAAAGCTTAGTTCAAACACTCTAATTGCTGATAGTATATTTGAGCATTAATTGTTGCATTAGGTGGTAAGAATTCAATGTGGATTATTCCTTGGCGATCCCACCAGATTGAAAGAAGATTGCCCATGAAGTTTCCTTCTCGGCTGTGGCTGGGGTCCTTCCCCTTTACCAATTCACGAGGCACCCATTTTCCAAGTTTAGAAACTTTTCTAAATTGTTGAAGATGACGATGAACAGTTGTATGGTTTGAACTGAGAACCACTGCCAATTCCTCAACTGATAAAGCAGGATTTTCTTCAA